AAATAGCAATCAGTTTGGGACAATGGCTTGCTAAAGCCTATTGAGAGACACTGAGTCCAAATTTAGCTTTTCCAAATCCAAGTCTCCTGCTCTTCCATCACCAGAGGTGAGTACGGGGTGATATGAAGAAATTTTTTTCTTCTCTTTCTCTGAAGCAGTCATGTATGGACAGTGCTTACCTTCTGGCCATCTTTTCAGAGAATAGACTGTAACTCCCTGGAGTTCCCAAGAATATAAGTAATAATTAGGATCTTTTTATACAAAAGGACTTTCTTCTCTGAAAATGTTGTGCTTCGACTAACATTAAATTGCGTTACCAAAGGCTGGGACTTTGGTTCAGTGGTAGAGCATCTAATTAACATGTTTAAGGTCCTGGTTGAATTCACAGCACCAAAAAAGAAAAAAAATTATCTTTACCAAGACTAAAAGGGAAAAAAAATCTTTTAGGAAAACGAAATCAAGAACTCTGAAGACCCTGAGAGAACACAGCTTCCCCCAGAACAGGGTCGGTTTATGGAACCTTTAGCCACCAGCGAAGAACAAACTGCGGTCTGTCCCCAGACTCTTCATGGGCCTCCACCAACATCATCCAGCAGTCCTCCAATCAAGGTACCTCTTCCTGTTCCTAATACTTTTCTCTCCCCACACCATATTTCTGGGGTTATTATAATCATGAAAGAGCTTCTCCTAATCCCTTACTGTACCCCATTTCTTCCTACAATTAAATCACAAATTAATTTATCAAGTGCATATATTAAGATCCCCGTGCTATTTACAAGGCATATGTTGATGAAACAATTCCTGATCTCCACAGCTCATGTGTTGGTTCAGGAGAGATGGGTATGGGGAGTTTATCATCTACTAGATGATAAACTCACATTATAGTTAGCTGGGCCAGAGGGGAGAAAAGACAAACACCTATCTCATCCACTCCATCATAGTCTGCTTTTTGTTTTGTCCTTTGTTCCTGCCTTGATGTGATTCCTGTGGTTACCAGCGACCCAACATTGAGAAGTCTGTATCTTTGGTGAATGAGCAAGAAAAAATTGCTTCAGATCTTCAAGGCGGGCACGTAAGAGCACAAGTTGAGTCACGCTTTCCTACTATAGTTTCTAACTCAAGACCAAGCTGCATTTTGTCTTAGGTCACAGCCTTACCAACAAGCCACACTCTGATATTGAAGACAGAGTCCCTCTAGAAAGAGACTTTCAATTTTGACCTAGTTTTCTGCTGTATTTTTTCATTGTATTCATTCATTCATTCATTGTTATGAGGAATTGAACTCAGGGTCACTTAACCACATCCCCAGATCTCTTTATTTTCCATTTGAGACAGGGTCTTGCTAAGTTGCTTCAGGCCTCGTTAGGTTGCTGAGGCTATCTTTGAGCTTGTGATCCTCCTTTCTCAGCCTCCCAAGTTGCTGGTATTACAGGCGTGCACCACCATGCCCAACCTCTGTTGCTATTATTGCTATTAGTTCCAAGAACCCATGTTTCCCCAAATCTCTCCTGAAAAAGTCATAGAAATAAAAAATAAAAAAAAAAAAACAGGTAGGTGGGCTATTTGTTTTGTTTTCAGGAGTCTGCAAAACTGGAGTCAGGAACAAATTTGTGCATTCCCTTAATGGAAAGTTTTAGTTAATAAACCAAATTTATAACCACAGCTGACATTGCTCTGAAATTTCCTGCTTTATAGTCCAGGAGGGTTGTTTACCCAAACATACCCTAAAACTGTGCTTGGTCAAGTTGTTTTAAGTCATTTGGCAACAGATGTAGAACCCAGGTTTATGTACATTATCTCATTTATTCTTTATAACACCATATGAAAATGGTCTTGTTAGTCTCATTGCACACATGAGAAAATGGAGATGCATAAAATCACACAGGAGTCCATATTAGTGCCAGGATTTAAACGCGGCCATCTTTGAACTTTAAAACTTGAATGTTGAATGATCATAGATGGAATGCAGGGTAAGCAGATGTTAAAATGTCTCCAATTTATTTTTGAGCACTTTTGAATGTACCTTGTTGTCTTTGGGTTTGTTACTGTTGCACAAGTGTCTGGGTGCTCAGAAGCTGTTCTAAGGAGGGGTACTCCAGTTGAGGGCCCTCTAAGCAGTTCTCTCGCACCCATCAACAAGTGGTGGGGCTGTCTCAGTGGAAAAGCGTAGCATGAGTGAGCATGGGGTTAGATCCTCAGCACCACATAAAAATTAACAAATAAAATAAAGGCACTCTGTCCATCTACAATTACAATTTTTTTTTTTAAAGTCAGATTACTGAATGGTGTCAAAACTGGTCAGTACTGTGTTGTGCTGACCTAATTATGATAATGTTTAATGGACTTCCATTAGTGTAATTGAAGGTTGCAATAACATAAGATTTTAGAGAGATTTCCCATTGTTACTTGAAATTGTCTAACCATGTAGCTAAAGAAAATGCTTTGCGTAGTATGTTGAATTGCTGTGAATGCAACTAGGAACCCAGAAAGATTCTGGCTTCCTGATCCACATTATAGAGGTAGCAGGATCCTTCCTGAGGAACTGTGAATTTGAGGGACCTGACCTGTTGCAGTTATGATCAGATACCTGAAAGGATGGAGACTTTCATTTCCTAGATGCCAAAGAGCACAGGACAGGGACTGGTGCATGTAACTGAAAGACTTAGTTAACAAAGGCCCATTAGCCTGTTTGCACCCCTTCAATAACAACAACAATAACAACAACAACAAAAACAAAAACTCTAAGAGTTGTATCTAACTGAATGATTTAGACCAGTTATATAGGATCTGTAGAACCAGTATTACATCCTAGACCAGTGAAATGCCAATCCTTTGAGATTTTTACGTTTAAAAGGAGGCTTGTGGTAGGAGGAGGCACCGTGTTGGAGGTGCCTGAATGTGTGCTATTATTCCTCCTGTGACCCAGGAGAAAATATGCATGGTATAGGTTCTATATAAAATAGAAAAAAAAATGAGAATAAAAGATGCATTTCATCTGATTAAAAAAAAACATTAAACAGAAAAAAAGTAAAGAAATTTATTTTCCTTCAGGAAATGGACAACACAAACACCCAAACACATGATAACATGAAGGTACAGGAATCTCAGGGACAGCATCAACTTCCAGAACTGTCATCATTTGCCACACAAACAACTGTGAGTACGTTCCACACTTTTAAGATGGCTCCCAGAACACCATCCTGCAGTTTCCAGACTCTTCAGGTGACTCTAACAGAACCATCCACCAGAATCCAAACTCTGCAGGTGGGTCCAACCATACTGTCTACCAGTCTCTAGATTCCTCTGATGACTCAAACCCCATTCAGCAGTTGCTTCCTCACAGTAAAATTTCCTGTTCCTGCAAATATAAGGACAGGGATTAGCAGAAACTTGGAAGAACAGAAACTTCTAACACACTTATTTAGTTCAGTTGTTATTTTTATTGGGTATTTTTTTGAGATCCTATCCTAACTTTGAATTCTAATTCATATAATGCCCCACTCCATCAGGATGATCTATGACTACTAGTGAGTACCTAAATCTTCCCTGTTCCATAACCAGTAAAACAAGACATTAGTTTACTTCATTTTATTTTTGTGTTTTGGTTTGCATTTTTCATTTTTCCTCACTGCAACATGTAAATGGTATCTTTGGGTAAAATAGTGTGTAGAAATACAGAGCCAACAGGAATCTATTGCTATTGCTTTTCTTTCATTATTTTTTGTTGACACCAATGACATCATCTTAGAAAATTTATGAAAAAAAAAAATAGATGTATGGACAAATATAATTAAAATTTAACTGTCTGGAATTTTTTCTCTATCGCATGCCAAGCTTAAGTGTATCGTCTTCTCTATCTTTTGTTATGTATATATAAGAAATATCATTTTCTCCCAAGTTGGGCCACATTGTATGTATTCTTATATAACCCAGACTTTAAAAATTCTTTTAGCATATTTTGAAGTGCTTGGCTTCAATCAGCCAATACAAACTTAAATAACTTTATTGTATATAAAAACTTACATGATTATTCTATGCATTATAAAAATAATTTCACATTATCTGGCTCTATGTTACTTTTGGTATTCCCTATACCTGCAATAAATGGAAGAACATGTGTCCCTCAGTCCTTCTTTTATCACCTGCAGAGAATGATATAATTTATTTCTCAAGCTCTGTACACTTTCTGTCAGATGTTTTTGTCACCATCATGAGGTGCTGGGAATGAATTTCCTGATGTAGGAAAGTATTTAACCATATTGATGAGAAGGCAGAGTGAAACCCCATCCCTCGCAGGTCATATTCTGTAGAACTTTCTAGGTCAGATCTCAGTGAGCACTGCTGATCTGTGGAGAATATCCATCTGCTGATTCCTAGAACTCCCATGGTCTCCTCCATACTTCTTCTTCCAGATCAGTAGACTCCCTGTAATTCAAAGTGCTCTGCTGAAATTCAGAAAGAGTGCAGGGCACTGTGGAGAAATGTGATCAGGGATGAGTTCCTTCATGACTAATTTCCAATGCCATGATTCCCCTCAATGCCTGGTAGCATTCAGCCTGGACCTGTTCAGACTAGGAAAGTCCTGGTGGTTCTTCCAGTGTCTGCCTTATGAACCCTTTTGCAATACATCACTGATTTCTTTAAAAAGGCTTTGTGATTTGAGTCTTTAAAAAGTCCTATTAAGATTAGTATCAGTTGAAATTACTACCTAAAACTTTTCTTTTTTTTTTTTCACTACATAAATTACACTGCATCTGCCATTATTGTCTAAATTTTCCTCAACTCTGCCCAATTAATGTTTCCTTGAGGATAACATCGGGAATCTTCTTTACATTCCTTGAGAATCGACCCTGAACCTGAGAGGGATCTCACTAGACAGTGACTCTGGATTCCCTGTCATAACTGTGCTGTGTTTCTGCTGTGTACTTTCCAAGTAGAATCCAGGATTGACAACTATACCTACGGAAGCTTCCGAAGAACGTGGTCACCAGAAGGGCCCCAAAGAAGTAGTGGTGTTGAAAGTAACAGAACCATTTATTTATGAGTTCAAAGAAGGCGGGAAGAAGATGTTTCATGCTACAGTGGCCACTGAGAGCGAATTCTTCCGAGTGAAAGTTTTCGACTTCCACTTGAAGGAAAAATTCATCCCAAAGACAGTTATTGCCATATCCGATTATATTGGCCGCAACGGGTTCCTGGAGATATACAGTGCTTCAAGTGTGTCTCACGTGAGCGCAGACAGAAAGATGGAGATCTCGAGTAGACTGATTAAAAATGCTAATGCAACTCCTAAAATTGAGTATCTTTGCTCACAATGTACAGTAAAATATGTGAATGGGGTGTACACAGTGTATAAGGTAAGCCATAGTATTATTCCATAAAATTTCTTCAGTAAACCTAGATTTTTAAAAGCCTTAACTTGCTAACTGGAGATGGGTCAATTGACTGAGTACAGGAAATCAAGGCCTGACTGACTCACTTCCCACTTTAGAGTATGGCATAGTCAATCTCAGACCTTTTATCTTTTCAGGATATTACCAGGAAAGTTCAGAAAGAGATTCACCAAGAATCTTTGGCATTTTAACAGCTATTCTGATACTTTCGTAGCCACCCTGGTCTACAGCAATATACAGTTCCTCTCAACACTTGTATCCTTAGGATTTTGCTTGCGTTTTCCCCATCTGTATCAATGACAACTTAATTGTAAATGAAGAGTTGGCCTCCCAAATCTAGATCTGGTTGTGGTGACCAAAATAAGGAACCTAAATAGATGGCTCTGCCCCAGGATGTGGTGACATCTAACAGTGATCTGATCAGCTGGACTGTATGCGCTCACTCTTTCCCATTCATTACTCTTCAATACTTTTTATTAAGAAATTGTGACACATTTCGTCTGCATTAAATCATAAGAGAAACAGAAGCTGCAGACAAGAAACATGCAATTTAATTTCTCCATTTACAAGGGACAATGAAATGCGAAGAAGCTTGGTGAATTTTTAGACTCCTCAGTCTTCCTAGACAGTCCCAACACACCATGTAAATAGTACCCTTGGCTGAGTTAACTGCTAATGTTGGAAGTGCGTCAATCTGCTATGTATGTCTTTGAGGATGGTCTTTTTTATTTTTTCTTTTTGATGGTGGGGAGTGAAACCAGGGTTACTCCACCACTGAGATACCTTCATAGTCCTATCTATCTATCTATCCATCCATCCATCCATCCATCCATCCATCCATCTATCCAGGGTCTCACCAAGTTGACAAGGCTGGCCTTGAACTTCTGATCCTCTGACCTCAGCCTCCAGAGCATCTGGGATCATAGGCCTGCAACACACCCAGATGAGTGTGGCTTTTTCTTTTTCCTGTGCTGTTTTCTGTACACTCTTTTTAAAGAATTGTACATGTAAAAGTGGCTGTAGAATTCATTAATAGAATAAAATACAAGCCAAAGACAGTGGGATTAGATCCTCTGGACTTAAAATTCAGCACAGAGCAAATCAACGGAGAAGACAGAAAAAGAAATGTATATTGAAATAACCTAATATACTTAATGAGGACTTCTCATAGTCTCTCAGGCTCCTGGTGAGCCCTAAGTGGCTTTTTTTCCTTCTCTTTTCTTGTGGAGGTATCAAAGAAACTTACAAAGGTAATCAGATTTCTCTCTATTGAGCTCATTAGGAAATCCCAACTCTGCCAATTAACTGTTGTTAACTCTTCAATTAATGCAGATATGTAAAAATTAGGAAGGTAATAAAGTCTCCTAGAAAAATCTAACACATGAAGACACTAAATAAGGAAAGCTTAGAGAAGTTTGCTGGAAAATATCTGGACCTGTGGTTCAGATCTATTTACTTTGTCACAGATGAATATTTTCATTTATACCCTTTATTTTTCATAGATCTAAGAGTTCCTGATACATTTCTCAGAAAACTGAGTGTTAATTATCTTTTTCAGAAAGATATGAGGGAAGATTGCACTTATTATGGAATACGAGATGATACAGGGAACATGGAAGTGGTGGTGTATGGATGGATGACCTATGTCAACTGTGAGGAAGGAGATAAAATTAATCTCTTCTGTTTTGAATTGGCTTTCAATGAAGATAAGTGGCAGCTTAGATCTGTAAGGCACAGCTATATCAAGGTGGGTGTTCTATGGGAATGTCATTCTTCCAAATGGAAACTATTTAAAAATTTTTTTATTTTATTTTTTTAAATTATGTGAATGTATTTTGACATATCATATGCACATGGAGTATAACTTCTCATTTTCTACATGATAAGAGTTACACTGGTCGTGTGTTCATATATGAATATAGGAAAGCTATGTCCGTTTCATTCTACTGACTTTCCCATTTCTATTTGGAGTGGAACCACTGTTTGACCCAGTTATCCCAGTCCTCAGCATATACCCAAAGGGATGTAAACTCAGCATACTATAGTGACCCAGTCACATCAATATTTATGGCAACTAGTTTCTTTATACTATACTCTAGGAAAACAAAATAGGTGGATTTAACACAGATTTCAGCAGATGGAAAGAAAACGAAGTTCTGCCCATTAGTGCATATAAACTTTTTTTCACCATTTTTTAAAAAAAGAAGGATATTTCTAATCAGAGTGAAGAAAGTAAATTCAGAGAGACTTTCAAAATTTATTACATCCTAAGCTAAATAATCAAGATATATTGAATTGATCAAAGCAAGAAATAATTTAATACGAAATTTGAGTTCAATTAAGACAAGATACGTTTTAAATTCTGGCTCTGTGACTAAATTGACTAAAGATTTAAAACACGAGGCACTTCTCTGTCACCATCTATAAAGTGGGGAAATATTTTCTAAAATAACAGGTCATCAACAAAACTCCTGAGAGATCTAGATTACCATTGCTGCCCTGAGCAAATCAGAACACAAGTACTTCCCTTTAGAGAAATGGTAGATGACAGTGTCTGTGCTCTTTGTCACACTGATGCACACGTTCATGTGCAAGTCATAGAACACTGCAAAAGGCTGATGCTGGACAGCAAAGAAATAAAATAAAAA